CACACCAAAACCAGCCTGAACAGGTGAGTGTTGCTTTTTAAAGAGCAAGTAACAACTAAATTAACTTGTTTTTGCTGATAACCTGTACAGATGAGTGTCTAATGGTGCAGTGTGCACATGTGTAATCATTATTGTGGTAGTTTAGTGTATCTTACTCTAAATGTAATATTTCGGCCCAAAACCATAATTCTGTCTCCATCTTCAGGCTAAAACTCTGCTCCACATTCATGTAGAACCAGCTGTGGCTGATTGCTGAGCTGAAAAATGTGACGTTGTCAGCAAAGTACTACGTGGCTGCACCGCACTGGTCTCCAGGTGAGGCAGCCGCACCTCCACCTGGCTCAGCCACTCACCTGCGGATATGACATGTTAGCGCTCTGAGCCGCTCGCCTCCTTGAAAAAAATGCCCTCCTCCCCAATTTCATCTGATGATCGCGTTTAACAGGAACTCCTCCAGAATGCTGCAGAATCTGTGTCTTGTGTGAGTGCGTGCATGCGCGAGTGTGCTCGCGCTTGTTAACAACTCGTTTTTAGATTGAGAAACTCCGACAGCGCACGTGGGGGGGTTGAGGGGGGTGCGGTCAATCACTGCCTCAGTGCCGCTCTCTCGGTCCGCCAGGCCACGCCTCTTTCAGAAGCGTTTTTCTAACAGGAAGTGTGGATGAAATACGTCTCCACCCATTCATTGACCCTCACTTTAAAGGAGACCACTGAGTCCACTGATCTCAGGCTCAGGGGGAGAGAGTTCCAGAGTCTGGGGGCCACAGCAGCAAATGATCTGTCACCTTTGGTCTTTAGCCTGGTGCTGCACAAGCAGTAGGCTTTGATCACTGGACCTCAGGGACCTGCTGGGGGTGTAGGGACTAAGAAGATCACCAATGAAAGATGGTGCTTGTCCATGTAAGGCCCTATAGACCAGAACCAGGATCTTGAAATGAATCCTGAAGTTGACTGGCAGCCAGTGAAGCTGGAGGATATGTGGATGTGTTCTGTGTGGCTGAGCTAGAGTAGAAGCCACATTGAGCCAGAAAGGTCACAAAATGTGTTCATTTTTAATTAAGATGCTAAATTAATTGAACACCTTGAACTAGTTTTCCTGCAGAAGCTCCTCCCTGTGACCCACATATATGTTCTCTGTTACATGTGAGCAGTGGTTCTGGATCAGACCAGCTGCCAGGAGCTTCCAGCCTCCCGTCCTAATCCCACATTAACGAGGCAGCATGACGGAACATAGATTATCGGAGTTAACCTCTAAAAAAGGTCAGCTTCTCCAGCGAGACAGAGAGGAGTCAGAGAGCCAGCCTCCCTCGTTGAGCACCAACCGTTTATTTAGAAAAATATAGATGATGTGACAGAACATGGCTCCCTCAGTGATGTGGATCCAAACAAGCGAGTCACCTGCTAAAGAACAACCAAGCTCAAACAGCAACGATGGTGGCAGAAGAAACTTGCAAATCTGAACATCAGGTAGAACAATCAGCTGATCTCGACACGGTCGTGTTGCAGTGGTGGTGGGTGAGAACACGGAGCTGTAAGAAGATTAGTGCATTTCTGCAAAAGCTGCAGGTCAAACATCTAGAGTGAGCAGAGCAACATCTGTTCATCTGTACAGGGTCTTCAACCAGAGACATCCTCAGCAGCCATACAAACATGAAAGCACTCATTCATATCATTATTACGTAATAATCATTTACATTAAACACAAACCTTTAAAAACTCTTCACAGATGTTTGTTTTAAGTCCATCCATCATAAAAATAAACCTGCAGACATCAAGATTTTGTTAGTCTGTAAAAAACAAAGATCTGCTGACATCTTTCTCTCTTACAAGCCTGCCCGCTGGATTTTATTCCAGATTACCACAAATAAATGTTTATTCAAATCAGACGGTTTTGTTCTGATTCAACAGAATCAATTCCTTGTTGAGGAACCTCATAGGACACCAGACTAGGGCTGCCACGATTAGTCGACTCATCACAACGACGTCGAAAAACAAAACAGTCAACCATTAATTTAATAGTCGACGCATAGTTTATTTTACTTAATGCCTCTCTGCTCAATGCACATGCGCAGTAGTCGCCATCCAGGTCAGCCTTTGTCACTGGAGAAAGAAGACATGGCGAGTCGGCAACGTAGCTCAAAAGTTTAGGAGCAGTGTATAAAGACAACGAGAGGCCTGTAGAATGCGAACTCTGCAACGTGGAACTCTCCTTCCACAGGAGCACATCGGCGATGCACGAGCATCTTAGGAGGAAGAACGAAGAGTGGCCTCAGTAAGTTTACCTTGTTAGCTGCTAACATCAACAGTTTCTTGTGGTTATAGCTGCAGCAACACCAGTAGAGGTGGTGATGTCATTACCTTTAGAACACGTTTGTATGTCACGTATTTTTGCTCTAATTACAAACTAATGATTTATTTCATCCCGCTACGTTACGTGTTAATAATGGTGCTCCTCTTCAGTGGACCTGTTTGTTACGAGCACACCTCAGCAAGCTAACGTCCTGACCGAGGGCTTGGTGAGCATGCTGGTCACGAGACTCCGGTCCATGGTCGGTATCAAGGTTACCATGTTACCATGACAACCACCTTCCAGGCTGATCCCACTTCACCACCATGATGGAAAAGAAATATGAAACAGCCTTTAAGGTGTGTGTGCGTGCGTGCTTACATGTGTGTGTGTGCGCGCGCGCGTGTGTGTGTGTGTGTGTGTTTCTCTCTGGACACAAATAAAATAAACATTAGAATAAAAGGCATTCATGGTAAAATAAAAATGTTCCCGTCTGAACAATCCAGAAACTAATATATTTGAAAACATAAATTCTTTGTGTTAAATCTTCACCTACTTTATTAGATATAACAGAATTATTCATCTGGTAAATGAACTAACTTTAATATCTGTTATCTTTACGCTAAAGCAGACCCTCAGAGCTGTCCATGGTTCCTGACTGCTGACGTGTGCACCAGTCGTGCTACAGAGGCGTACCGTGGTGTGTCCTGCTATTTACTGAGTTAAGATTGGAAGATGAAGCGCTTCAACCTTCCCACCATGCCTCTGGTGAACACGTCATGTTTGGTTTTAGGTGCCTACCTCCATCTGACTGCAGCATTTGTATTAACAGGTTACAAAGTTAATTAAAGTAGCATGATAAACGATCATCTTGTCTTTATTATTAGACGGCACACAGCTGATCACACGTCACACTAGACGCTAATGATGGTATATTACAGCATCCTGGAGCAACAAGCTAAACTTTTATGAATGACACGATTACTCTATTACTAAAATAGTCGTTTGTGGCCGCCCTAATGGACTTACTGTGGAACATGAAAGAGGCTTAGTTCTGTTCTGAACCTCCTTTGCTGCATCTGGACCAGAGTCCAGAATCTGCTCAGCATCCAGTAAACTCTGAAGACTATCAAGACCTTCTGGAGCCAGATTCCAGCAAACCTGCACGTTTGCATCCCCATGTGGAATCTCTCTGGGCAAACATTTTACCCATGCAGGGTTGCTCATTATGGGACAGGCGGCCATTGTAAAATGTAGGGCAAATGTTAGTCCCATCATTTGGGGTTATGAAGGGGCCCAACAGGGCCTGCATATGTGGGCTGCCCCCCATGGCTCCACTGTGGCCCATTGCTGTGGGGCCCTCGTGCCACACATTTCCCATGGAATGCGTGGGCTTCCCACCATTTACCATTTGATAAAAATAAAAGTAATGATTAGATTTAGATGGCACCTTATAAGGTACCCAAAGCGCTGTTCATTGCTCATGCACTGACACACTCACACACTGCTGGTGAGGATAATCTTCTAATTGACCAACCTGGGATGACAACATGGGGAGGATGGCCTAGATAAAGCTGGGATTGAATGTACAACCTTCTTATTACTAAACAGTGGAGGAGGAGGTCCTGTCACCCTGCGGTAAGGCGTTTTGTGTCACTTCCTGTTTTCTGTGTTGCACTACGTGTAGCTGTTCAGTGTTTGTGGCTCACTAAAATTGATCAAATTTCCCTGTACTAGGATTTTGAAGCACATAAGCACGCTAAAACACATTTTCTGTTGTTCCACCGAGCTTTAGGGAATGATTTGACTTCGCACGCTGTTTATTTGGTGTTGAACGTGTTGCTTGTCCAATTAGCGTAGCCTCAGCACGGCTATGGCTACTTCTGTCTCTGCTTCTCCGTGTCCCATCTCTTGCTCTCTGTGCCAGATGTTTAGTTACTCCTCTGCCTCCTTTAGCGATAATGGTACGTGTAATAAATGTAGCATTTTTGTAGCTTTGGAGGCGAGGGTGTCGGAATTGGAGTCCCGGCACCGCGCTGTTGAAAAGCCCGTAGATGGCCATAGCTACTTGGCTAGCGTGGAGTTAACTAGATCAGAACCACCCCGTAGCGATCCTCTAGTAGAACCTGAGCAGCCGGGACATCAGGCCGGCTGGGTGATGGTACGCAGAGAGCACAGAACCCAGCCCGTGGGCCACCACCAACCCATCCACGTTTCTAATAGATTTTCCCCGCTCAGTGACGCACCCACTGATAAGCCGACTCTGATCATTGGCAGCTCCATAGTCAGAAACGTGGCATTAGAGGCTCCAGCAACCATAGTTAAATGTTTACCTGGGACCAGAGCGGGCGACATTAAATCTTATCTGAAACTGCTGGCTAAGGATAAGCGTAAATACAGTAAGATTGTTATTCACGCTGGCGGTAACGACACCCGGTTACGCCAATCGGAGGTCACTAAAATTAATGTTGCTTCGGTGTGCAAGTTTGCCAAAACAATGTCGGACTCCGTAATTTTCTCTGGCCCCCTGCCTGATCGGACCAGTGACGACATGTTTTGCCGCGTGCTGTCCTTCAACCGCTGGTTGTCTAGGTGGTGTCCTGAAAACAACGTGGGCTACATTGATAATTGGAAAACTTTTTGGGGAAAACCTGGTCTGATGCGAAGAGACAGCATCCATCCCTCTTTGGATGGAGCAGCTCTTCTTTCTAGGAACATGGCCAGTCTTATTAGTCCTCCATGACAACCCAGGGTCCAGACCAGGAAGCAGAGTCGTAGTTTAGCACACCCCTCTGCAGCTTCTGTACTGTTAAGCTTGGTTCATTCTTGACACATTCACTTTCCGCTTGGTGATGATGTTCCAATATATCTGCCACTCGGTGCTCGACAGTAACTCCTCATATGATCATGGCATGACAGCTCCCTCTGTTGCACCAAGGCGCAATCACCATTTAATGACAGACAATTACCGCAATATTCCTACCAAGAGAGGCAGAACGAATGCTGCAAAATCGTGTATCGCCATGCCGGCATGGCGCATTTCTGAGACACACTGTTGTGGTAATATGTTGATTTGCTGGCTTGGTGTGTTGCACAAAGGGCTAATGGCGGTAAACAGTAGCTATGTCCCTCCTCCCTTTGTTTTGAAAGGAGGAAAACTGACAACCCTCACAGCCAGCTGGATATGAAACATGTTTCTGTAGAACCTTCCTTCCAAAATGGCCGAAACATGATCCCTTTTGGGAATTTCTCACTGTATTCTTACATACTGCACCTTTAAAATCATCTGATTATCAGTGATTTTTTTTGGGCGAACATCATGGCCAACAACTATTTGTCCCGTGTCTGTAAATAACCAGGAGCCCCAGTCCAAACAGTCCGTAGATCCACATTTGACAGGAAACACTCCTCCTCCACCTGTGATGAAGGATGTTCCTTTAATATGACAGGCAGCAGCTCTCTTGAGCAGAAACACCAGAGGTTTGGATCTGACAGACCTGAACAGAACCCCATCACAATGATGAGGAACAGCAGTGGACCTGCACGGGCCCCTGCGGCCCCCCCAGAGAGCAGCCCCTCTTCTGACTCCATCTGAGTCCCGTTATGAAGGCTCTCTGTCCTGTTCCCCAGCTCTTTTCCCTGCTCCTTCTCAAGAATCTTGGAGATGAACCTGTTGAAGCGGTTCTCCATGGTGGGGACGACCTCAGTGGACAGTACAGTCAGGTTGGCTTCAGTGTGGTCCACACATGTCCCATTAATGTTGATAAATACTACTTGGCTAAGGTCCAGGCCTGCCACAGAGGAAGGTGAGGCACAGGGAATGTCCCGGACCAGTTTGTAACTGTCCATCCACTGCTTGAGCCAGTCCAGGGAGCAGCCGCAGTCCCAGGGGTTCCTGAAGAGGTACAGGTGGCCCAGGAAGTAGATGGGCTGGAAAACACTGAAGGGGAGGGAGGTCAGGTTGTTGCTGTTCAGGTGGAGAGTGATCAGGCTAGTCAGGTTTTCAAAGGCGCCCTCCTCAATGTTCAGCAGCTGGTTTCTGTCCAGGTACAGGACCTCCAGCTCTACCAGGTCACTGAACCAGGTCTTAGACACGTTGGTCAGATGGTTCCCTCCAAGATTGAGCATCTTGAGGTGGCTCAGCCCTCTGAAGGCCAACCTGGGTAGGTCAGACAGCAGGTTGTCATTCAGGTAGAAGTTTTCTAGATGCACCAGATCCTGGAAGGAGTGATCATGGATCACGTTGATCCGGTTCTCCTGGAGGTTCAAGTACCTGAGACAAAAAGAGGTGCTGTCAGTATCTCAGTCCAGATCTAAAATGAGATTATTAGCTATTAACTGTGTGAGCGCTGTGGTGCGCTGCCCTGGGCGTTGCCTTACAGGCCGCAGGAACAAAAAGGGTGAACAGAACCAGCAGCTTGAGATCATGTGACACCATTCATCAGCCAGTCAAAGCTCATGACTTTCTTCGTGGCTCTTCCTGTTTCAGATTGTTTTAATTGTCCAGGTGTGTCCATAAATCAGCTGTAGTGTGAACAATCTGTGATGGCCTGTCCACCCGTCCAGGACTCCCCGACTGCTGGACATGGACTCCAGCTCCCCACCGTCCTTACATCTACTGCACACTGGAAGCAAAAGCGGGTCGGAACGGCAGCAGAAAGGCACTCTCGTGCACCGGGAGAGTCTCAGCAGCGGAGCAGCTTCTCTGCCGTGCTCCTCGCGAGATCACTAAATCCCTTGAGACTTTTTGTTTATGCAATCCACCATTAAACCTAAAAGAAGGAAATCATGTTTGATATCGCTGATTGATGTCATATATGACGTTGTTCCTCTCCACTACCAGGAACAAAGCCGCGGCGCTTCTGGGACATGTCTGAAAATTGTTGCGGCTGGTTTGTTACACTCCACAGACTATAATGGATTGTATTTGAAGCGGCGCCGTTTCACTGCCGTTCCGTGCCACTTTTGCATTGAGTGTGCAGTAGGGCTTAGTAGCAGGTGTGCCCAACCCTGGTCCTCAGGATCCCCTATCCAGCTTGTTTTATGTCTCACCCTGCTGATTCAGTGGCTGAACCACTTGTTCAACAGCTACTCAGGCTCTGCAGACAGCAGCTAATCACCACTGATTCAAATCATGTGTGTTGAAACTGGGAAACTTCTAAGACCTGTTGGATAGGGGATCTCGAGGACCTGGGTTGGGCCCACCTGGACACGATGGATGGATGGACAAGCACAGGTTTGACCACTGATGGGGCTCGCATCCATGGACATGGACTCGCATCCATCCACACAGAAAAGCAGAGTAATGAGAGCTTTATGAATGCGTGTTATCTCACACATCATGCCCCCATCCTTCTGAGGTGAAGATCAGATGAATCCACACCTTCAGGACCAAACATCTCATTACAACAAATACCCCACAAGCACATGAACAAAGATCTTACTACAGTCTAAAAGTTTGGTGCTCTGCAACATTTCTGTCAGAACTGAGAAGTGAAAACAAGTCCTGCAGCCGTCTCCTGAAGCTGCTGAAGCCCTGGCTGGCAGAAAATTCTCCTGCAGAACTCACCTGAGACTCCCCAGGCCCAGCAGTGAGTTGTAGGCCACCGCCTCTATCTTGTTCCTCTCCAAGTAGATGTGAGTCAGGTTTTCCATGCCTCTGATCGCTCCCGGGATTCTCCGGAAGTTGTTTTGGAAGCACAGCAGCTCCTTCAGCGCAGGCTGTTCTATGAAGATGCGGTCAGGGATGCTGAAGAGGTTACAGTCTGACAGGTCCAACCGCACCAGCTTCTTCAGCCCAGTGAAGGTCCGTGTGTGAAGGTAACTGATATACTCATTATGAGCCATCTTCAGCTCCACCAGGTTGGAGAGGCCCTGTGAAGACAGATGTAAGGAGCTGAGTATGTGAGCAGAGACATCTCTGGAGCTGGAACTGGATCACAGGGTCTGGGTCTGCTGGTGGAGTGTTTCTGGTCCACAAGTTCTACGTGGATCAGATGATAGATGCAGAGGTGGATATAATGTGTTATAGAACAGAATAGACTTTACTGATCCCACAGTGGGGATATTCACTTGTTACAGCAGCACCAACACTTAAGAGAATAATCTGACAAAAAATAATAACAAAGGTACGTGTATTTATACATATAGGAAGTAATCTAGTACTTTAAACTTCCACCAATAAAACCCACAAATAAAAAAGGAAAAATTTGGGTTCCAACATTCTGCAGCATACTGTAAGAGACACAGGCATACTAAGTAAATCTGGTACTGAACACATACTGAGTATTGCACTGGTGTTAGTGTGTACCAGGATAATGCCAGTACCAGTTAAACTGAGGAGGTCTACACTCTTACTGCAGAGGGGATGAATGACCTACGGTAGCGTTCTGTTTTACATCTAGGATGTCTCAGTCTGCCTCTGAAGGAGCTGTCCATGGTCTCCACAGTGGAACGCAGTGGGTGGGAGGGTTTTTTAAGATGGAGGTCATCTTCCCCAGCATCCTCCTTTCACACGTCTCCTCAACTGAATCCAGTGGGCAGCTCAGAAATTAGTTAGCTTTGTGAACTAGCTTGTTCATTCTCTTCCTGTCTCGGTCAGACCTGCTCTGCTCTTAAAAGCATTTTAGCAACTGGGAATTAACTCTGAAGGACCTCAGCCTCCCCAGGAGGAGGCGGCTTTGACTCTTCTTATACAGCATCTGTGTTGTTGGACCAGTTCAGTTTGCTGTTGAGGTGAACACCCAGGTACTTAAAGGTATCCACCACCTCAGTGTCTGCTCCCTGGGTGTTTAATGGTGAGTGAGGAGGAGTGTTTCTCTGGAAGTCAATCACCATCTCCTTTGTCTTACTGGTGTTCAAGTGAAGGTGTTATGCTCACACCAGTCCAACAAGTCCATGATGACTGACCTGTACTCCTGGTCAGTTCATCAGACACACAGCCGACAATGGCCGAGTCATCAGAGAACTTCTGGAGGTGACAGCTGCTGGTGTTGTAGGTGAAGTCCGAGGTGTAGAAGGTGAAGAGAAAGGGTGAGAGCACCGTACCTAGGGATGCAACAATACCACTTTTTTCCAAACCGATACGATACCGATACTTGGATCTGAGTACTCGGCGATACCGATTACCTATACCGATACTTCTACCACACAAAAAAAAGCAATGATTTGGAATACAGATTTTATTTTCTTCTCTGCTTTCAACAGGAAAAGACTGAGGCAGATAAAAAGTAAAATATATGAATGGAAATCATCACAAAACTAAAATATTAGGTGAACAGAAATGACAAGTTAAAGGGAAGCCATTGTCAAGCAACTGCATTGGTATCGGTTAACTTTTACCGATACAGATACTGGTATTGGTATTGGTATCGGCACCAATACCAATACCAGTATTGTATCGGTGCATCCCTAACCGTACCCTGTGGAGCTCCAGTACTACACACAACCACCACAGATGTACAGTTGTGCAGCCTCACATACTGTGGCCTGTTGGTGAGGTAGTTGATGGTCCATGCAGTCCATCCACTCCTGCACCCCTCATCTTCTGCTGCAGTAGACATGGCTGGATGTTGCTGAAGGCACTTGAGGAGTTGAAGAACATGATTCTCACAGTGCTTTTTTGCCTCTTGAGGTGAGTCAGAGCCCGGTGCTGCAGGTAGATGAGCGTGTCCTCCACCCCATGTTTGGTTTATTGCATTGGGTCTATTTCCAGGGTCACCATTGAACATAGATGGGTGAGGATGAGTCTCTCCATAGTCTTCATCAGATGGGAGGTCAAGGCGACAGGTCTGTAGTGGTCTGGTTCTCAGGGATGTGATGTTTTAAGAACTGGAACTACACAGGAGGTCTTCCATAGAATGGGGACCTTCTCCAGCTGAAGGCTCAGGTTGAACATGTGTGTGACCACTTCCCAAAGCTGGTCAGCACAGTCTTTGAGCAATCTGGGCCTGATCCCGTCAGGACCTGCTGCTGTTCTGCTCTTAAGCCGCCTCAGTTCTGTCCTCACCTGGTCTGATGTGACTGACAGGGGGGTTGGTGAGGGGGAGAAGCTGATGTGTGGTGTGAGATCTGGAGGTTATGTTTACTCCGTTACATCTACTCCAGAAGTATTGTTTCTGCATCCCACTTTGTACTTTCATTTGAGTACATTTGTGAAGAAGGAACGCCACTTTTACTCCGCTATAATTGGCAAAATTTACTTAAAAAACGTTTCACGCAATAAATAACAACAGATCACTCCGCCAGTGGAGCTAGCTGTTGCTCTGTCACCAATCAGATGATGCCACACAGTCACATGACCAACAGATGTAAACATTGCAGTGGGGGAGTACGGCTTTTTAAAACAACATGAAAATGGCTCAAGCCACTGTCCTCGATGCTAAAACCGGCCATCGCCCTGGCCTCATATTCAAAGTGTGTTTCACTTAAAAGAAGCACAAATGAACGGATGAATAATGAGGTGTGTGTGCCGAAGCAAACAGAGATATCAGCCAACAAGAACCTGAGGAAACATGTCTAACTTTCTGTTGTTATGATGACACGGCTGCTGTTTGGAGCTCCATTCCTCCAGGACTGATGTCTACCTCCTACACACGAATCAGACTGCTGAGCTTCCTCCTCAGCAGTCTTCAGCTGGTCATGAGCTAACAATTTAACTCAAGAGTGTTGCAGCACGACGCCTTAACAAACCTCCAGGCCCTCGGGGACCGGAGCTCGGTACTCCTGTGGTATATAGACGAATGGCGCACGTTCAAAATCAGTCCCTTTATCTAGAAACTGCATCAGTAGCAAGCCATTTTCTCAAGTGAGGCTTTGTGGTAGATCCCTCTCAGTGCACTTTAAATGTGATCTAGAACTTTCTAACTAAGAGGAAAGGACTGCTTGTAAGTGAGAAATAACAAAGTAAACAGCATAAATGAGTCAAAACGAGCCGATTAACTGCTGGAAGAATGAATGAACATGTAAGTCTCCAGTTTCATGTTAAAAACATCAACTGCCTGATGTCTTAAAGCAGCATTCCACAGGGATAGGATGGGCTTCCAGAGTTGCTATGTTCATCAGTCTTTAGGTCAGTGTAGATGTGGCTTTGCACAGAAACAACTAGGAAGCGTTGAGCTGATGAATTCAATCAGTTCTGAATGAGTTTAAACCTCTGGAGGCAGGCAGGTTAAACCTACCTACCTGGTTACTCCACAAACGTGTTTCATGATCATTTTTAACTTAGAAGTACCCCTGAAGGACTTGGTTGTTCGTCCTTTTATCAAAACTTATTTTGAGCCTGAGAGGGTTAAAGAAATCTGGGCTAGATGCATCTATGCCATCTAATTATAGGCCAATCTCTATGCTCCCCTTATTGAGTAAGGTGATGGAAAGGTGTGTCTATGGCCAGTTGCTGGACTTCTTAAGTGAAAACAACTTTTTAGAAAACTTTTAATCTGGTATGAAACCATTACTCAGCACTGAGACAGCTTTGCCGAAGGTCCTGAACTACATTCTTCTTGCCGGGTGGCGGAAGGTCAGTGTTACTTGTTATGCTGGATTTGACAGCAGCCTTTGATAGAGTGGACCACGAGGTGTTGTTGCATCGTCTTGAGCACGACATGAGAATCACTGGTCTGGCTCTGAATTGGTTTCGGCCCTACCTTTCTAATAGAACGGTGTGTGTCCAGATGGGTGGTTTCTCGTCTGAATTCTTCCGTCTCCCCTCGGGTGTCACGCAGGGTTCAATACTGGGTCCCCTACTGTTTTGTGTGTATATTCTGCCTTTGGCCTATATGCTGATGACTGACAACTGTACTTGCCTTTGGATGAAGCTGGTGGTCGACCAATCTCGAAGATTTTAGATTGTTTGTGTGAGGTCAAAGGGTGGATTGCAGAAAATGTCCTGTGCCTCAATGAGGGGAAGACAGAAGCAGCGCTCTTTGGTCCCATCCACCTTGCTGATAACTCCATGTTGGACCGTAGTGAACTAACCCCTCACTTGAAGGACTATGTTGTTATTTTGGGAGTGAAGATAGTCTGACTTCTGTTTTAGGGGCCACTTAAATGGAGTGGTAGCTTCATTCTTTTACCATTCAAGACACTTGGCCAAGGTTAAACCTTGTTTGTCCACACACGATCTTGAAACTGTTGTGCATGCGCTCATAACTTCACTCCTGGACTATTGCAACTCCATCCTGCTCGAAGTGATCCATGGTACCTTAGCCCATTTGTAACTTGTCCAAAATGCTGCTGGGAGATGTTTGGAGGGCAAACGAAAGTTTGACCATGCTATGCCCATATTGGCAGCTCTACATTGGCTACCTGATTCTTTTAGGATTCGGTCTGAAGTTCTTTTACTGGTTTTTAAAGCTTTAAATGGTTTGGCTCCAGCATATCTGGCAGGCAGACTGCACTTGTATGTTACCTCTCGGGCACTCCGTTCAGAGGACTTGTTCTTGCTCGAGGTGACCCGGTCACGGCTGAAGAAGCGGGGCGACTGAGCCTTTTCAGTTGTGGCTCCAAAACTATGGAATGCGCTTCCATTACACATTCGGCAGTCCTCTGCTGTACCAGTTTTTAAATCAAAGCTGAAGACCCATTTGCTGAAACACATCTCACTTCCTGTCTGGCTCATGCAATTTCTTCAACTTCATCAAAATCTGCATGCGTCTGGAAAGAGAGACTACATGCAGAAACCTTCTGGAGCTCCACATCCAGATCTGCACTGCATCACAGTCAGTGTGAATGCTCGATGATTGGTTTTGTGGAAGCTCTACAGAAACCAGACCATATCTGTTCCACATGTGGTGTAAACAAGGCTTTAGGTGTGCGCCTCCTGCTTTCATGCTTTATAAATCACTCTTCCTAGAAAATGTGCCCAAGTGAAAGCTGAGGTTGTGCAAACAAAGTGATGAAAACAGACGTACAACAAAATCGTTAAGAATACGAAGTGGTCAAAGAGGAAGGTCGCAAAAGTCATTCCTGCATCCACAGCAGCTGCATTATGGTGCTCAGAGATTGCTGAGACATTCCAAATCTAACCGTAACATTAAATTAAAACCTTTAATTAAACCAGAAGGGGCTTTTACGGCAGGAAATGACATATTTTGTTAATCAAATCAGACAAATAGCCTGCCCGCTAACTAGCTGGAATGAGCTGGTTGTAGGAAACCGACTGCGCAGCAGCACACTCTTAGCAGTGCTACGTCTCTACCATTAACGGAAGCTGTTATAGGTTCTGATTTGCTTTACTCTGAACTTGGTGTGGTGCAATAGACCATTAATGCACCAATCAGTCATTTGAAGATGTATGCATGAATGTAGAGTGATGTCTTAAACCAACATATTTCATTCAGGTTCTCATTTCAGTGTTCATAAAAACTTTTGAGCCACACAGGACAGTTCTTAACTATGTAGAACAATGTCCTCACCTGCTTCTGAGTTGTGTATTTTAACTGGTGGGTATCGTAGTGACCTTTGACTTTTACATATTTTATATGTTTAATTGTTCTGTTTAAATAATTTCATCTCTCTACCATGAGATTAAACATGAGACAAATACACCGACAGATACTTCATGATGTCCTCTTCTCAGACAGGTGTTACGAATCTTTTTGCTTCAGACAGGTAAGGTCGTATGCGACTTCTGTTTTACCTTCACGTGTTTCGACCGACGACTGCGGTCTTCATCAGAAGTGTCACCGATGTTTGTGTGACGCGTCTTTATCAGCTGCTCTATTGTGAGGCACAATGCACAAGTGTCTGCAGAATGTATATGCCTACTCAGTAATCATACGAATGCACACACAGCTTATCACAATTATTCACCAGTACTGATAGAACTATTAAAAGCAACTTATTTTCATTCAGGTTCTCATTTTTATTCTCAAATTAGAGATGGAGTAAGGGCTGACTATTGGTTTTGTGTGTGTGTGTGTCTGTGTGTGTGTGTGTGTGTTTGTGTGTGTGTGTGTGTGTGTGTGTGTATGAGTGAGAGTGTGTGTGTGTGTGTGTGTGTGTGTGTGTGTGTGTGTGTTTGTCTCCAAGTCTGTAAATGTGGCTTAAAGATCAAGTCACCCCCTACCAGAGTATTACTCTGCTCCCACTTCCTGTTTGAAAAATGCAACAAATGCTGTTGCCTAGCAGACCGAGAGGGCGGAGCCGCTAACAAATACACACACACACACAGGCCCACAACAACATTGTGACATCATACGGTACCAGCTAACGTTCTAGGGTACCTCTTAGCCAATAGCAGATTTAAATGTAAATGCAGTGCAGAGTTTTTACCTGACAACGGCACAACACTGACAGTTTTAGGCAGAAAATGTAAATTTGAACTAAAATGCACTAAAGTGGTAAACTATTGACGACACTTGTCTGCAGCACGATTAGACACGCATGTATATAGTTTATCAGGAAAAAGAGTGGATGTGGGGTGACTTGCTCTTTAAAGAGACACTGTGTCATTTGTACCATTAATCTCTGGAAGTGTCTATAGAAATGTTGTTGAACCTGAACTAAATGGTGTCCAGTCGTTGAACAGTATTGGCAGCTTCATAAAGTATAACCATGAAACTGGGTTTAAAGTACATAATGCTATGTATGCTAATGCTGTGTGTCTAGCGTCTTTAGGGACGCCATATTAGATGTCATGTTTCCTTCTGGCTGGCTCAGGGTCCTGCACCTGTCGATGACATGTCACACTAGATGATTGGCTGATTACAGAAGTTCCGTTACCACGTTCAAATACATTTAGGCAGCGAGAAACCCAAATTTAATAGTAAAACTTGTTACAGCTGCTTCTGCTGAGAAACTCTTCTATAGCACAAGAACAGCTGAGTAGCCTGGCTATCATAAGCTCAGCTCAGAAGTAGCAGCATCCGATTACCTCAGATTAAGAAACAGGAGATGTGTCTGCAAAAGGCCTCTTCAATTGTTGAAACAGGCTAATTTAATCAGGGCCTAATAGATTATAAATCTAAATTCACCCAATGCTACAGTCATTTTGCAATGGAGAGGGCCTCAACCCCCCAATATGTTTCGAAGGGGCGTACCAACACTTATTTGTTTCCAGTGTTACTGATAATGAAAAACCCACAGTCAGACCTTGAAAGCCCCCGGGGTGATGAAGGAGATGTTGTTGTGGTCCAGGGAGAGAGATCGTAGTGAGGGCAGGGTACCGAAGGCCCGTTCTGACAGAAACTTCAGGCTGTTCTTCTCCAGGTTGATGGAAGAGGCCTCACAGGGAAACTCCTTAGGTAGATCAGCCAGGCTCGAGCGGTCACACAGAACACTGCAGCTCTTCTCCTGAGTGCAGAAGCAGGACGGTGGACAGGCTCGGGCACAGGCCCAACGGGACAACACCGCCTGGGGCAGCAAGACCAGCACAGATACTGGAAAACAAAACCACACCAAGCCGTAAGTGATGTCACCAGTGATGACCCTGCTGATAGCCTCGTGGAGGCTCTACCATAAAATGTGCTACTAGTTCATCTATTGTGTGTGGTGTGCACACTCATGCATGTGTGTGTGTTTGTGTGTGTGTATGCATGTGTATGTGTGGTGTGTACACACATGCATGTGTGTGTGTGTGTGTGTGTGTGTATGCTTGTGTGTGTCTGTGTGTGTATGCATGCATGTGCGTGTATGCCTGTGTGTGTGTGTATGCTTGTGTGTGTCTGTGTGTGTGTGTATGCTTGTGTGTGTCTGTGTGTGTATGCATGCATGTGTATGCCTGTGTGTGTGGGGGGGGGTGTATGCATGCATGTGTATGTGTGTGTGTGTGTGTGTGTGTGTGTGTGTGTATGCATGCATATGTATGCCTGTGTGTGTGTGTGTGTGTGTGTGTGTATGCATGCATGTGTATGTGTGTGTGTATGCATGTATACGTGTGGTGTGTACACACATGCATGTGTGTGTGTGTTTGTGTGTGTGTGTGTGTATGCATGTGTATGTGTGGTGTGTACACACATGCATGTGTGTCTGTGTGTGTATGCATGCATGTGCGTGTATGCCTGTGTGTGTATGCTTCTGTGTGTGTCTGTGTGTGTCTGTGTGTGTGTGTATGCTTGTGTGTGTGTCTGTGTGTGTGTCTGTGTGTGTATGCATGCATGTGTATGCCTGTGTGTGTGTGTGTGGGTGTATGCATGCATGTGTATGTGTGTGTGTGTGTGTGTGTGTGTATGCATGCATATGTATGCCTGTGTGTGTGTGTGTGTGTGTGTGTGTGTATGCATGCATGTGTATGCGTGTGTGTGTATGCATGCATATGTATGCCTGTGTGGGTGTATGCATGCATGTGTATGCGTGTGTGTGTATGCATGCATGTGTATTCATCAATTTCCCTCTGGGATTAATAAAGTATTTTTGAATTTGAATTTGAATTTGTATATGTGTGTGTGTGTATGCATGCATATGTATGCCTGTGTGTGTGTGTGTGTGTGTGTGTGTGTGTGTGTGTGATTGTGTATGCATGTGTGTGTGTGTGTGAGTATGCATGCATATGTATGCCTGTGTGTGTGTGTGTGGGTGTATGCATGCATGTGTCTGCGTGTGTGTGCCTACGCCAAGTCATTTAGAACAGAACGACTCTTTCACGTATGAGAGTGATGACTGACAGAAGGGCTGACCAGTGAACATGATGACGGTCATCGTTGTGGTCTGTCATCTGGAACATGCCAGGATTAACGGGGATCTGAAAAGAACAGAGCAGCTCTGTTTGATTAACAACATCACCTCCTGCCATAATCACACTGTCCTATACCCAAACTCCTGATCCAAACATCACACATCCCCCCTCAACACCTCCTCCAGCCACCCAGCTCCCAAACCACAACAACCTCCTCACCCCAGCCTCCACTCCAACCCCCAACCCCCTCTCAGTGTCCCACCAGACCGTCTTGTACCTGTAAGTGGAAATGTTCCAAAGTATAAGAAAACCTCAGACCACGCGTACAAACAGTATCTAGTGGTAGAACCAGAGAGCCGCAATACTGAATGTCAATCATCCACATGTTCATCATCCAGAAAACATTTTTACCCAGTAAATAATTATTTTGGTGGAACAACAGCAGTTTCACATAATTGGCTCTAAAACCTTTAAAAGACACCCGTGTGTGAGTCTGACATTGTAGCTGATCTTGTTGGAGGATTTGTCAGAGCGAGCTCTCTGGAGGGAACATGTCCTCCGTGAGCACACTGATCTGATTCCTGAAGGAGATCCTTCCGGAGCTATGCTGTGGTCCTTTCTGGAGCGACAGACAATCCCCACAAATCCAACTCCACTGCATTGTTTTTTGGGGGGAAAGAATGCAGGGATTCTCCTCATGAGCTGAAGAGGTGGTGGGACCAAATATAGTTACATTTCTGTATGTAAGTGATGAACAGACCCGAGCACCTGGGTACGCACAGGTGGGAATTACCAACAGATGATTGCGGAGGAATGTGCGTATGTGTCCACCATCGACATATATGGACATAGCCCGCCTGGGGGCGGCGGGGGACAAGTTGAGGCCAAAAGGGAGGTTCCCGCCACTGATATTTTTGACATTGTTACACGTTCCGTCACTCCCAGACAATCCAAAAATGGGAAAAGGGGAGGAGCTGAGCGTGGGGTGTTACGTTTGGAACAGTTGGAATAAATGTAACCATTGTAGCTACTAGCTAACGTAGCTAACCCAAGAAGGGCTCCGGGGTGTCCCATCCGCATGGCCGTCTGGCTCCTGTACGAGGCTGTAGTCATGCTGGTCGCCTGTGGAGATCTAATATGGACTGGGACTGTTAAATTACAAGCAGAGCCTCAGACCACTGCGATCGTAGCTGGGCGCCGTCGCATTTTACATCAGCTCTTGCTCCACGGCTGGAGATGAGCAGGACAATAGCTACATGCTAACCTGAAGCTAACAGAGTTTTCCAGGCAAGAAAAACACGGCAGAGCTACTCCAAAGTGAAGGCACCTCCGGCCCGCTTAGTAACAAAATCATAACTAGGTAAGCTGACCGAGGATATCAAGCTTCGCAGGTCCACCACGGTCAAAGATCTGCGAGTCAACGTCCCAAGCTCAGGGAGTATCGACTCGGCTCCCGGTGCTGTGTTGACACCGAGCTGAGAGCCGAGTCGACACTCCCAGAATGCAGCTGAGCGACTCAAAATTAAAGCAGCATCAGCTAAAAGAGCTGCAGTGTTCCTGTGGTTTCCCTCAGAGATCCATGAGTGACCAGCATGACTACAGCCTCACACTGATGGCACCTGTCAACGTGCCTGGTTGCCCTGGGAGATGGGAGCAGCCAGCTACCTGCTCTAACTGTTCCCGGGCAGGAGACAGGAGAAGCTGGGCACCCGCTCAAGTTTCTTATGCAGCCAGAAGCTCCACTAACATGTGTGACCAAGCAGTTAAAGGACAGCATTCCCCCATTCAACCAGCAAAATAAAGTACAGAAATATAAATTTTCTTACTGATAAAAAGAAGCAGAAACTGCTTGGATGATCTATTAGTGCCGTCAGTAACCACAGCTTTCCTTCTGTGTCCAGATAATTCCACGATTAGCATCCAAACACAAACACACAAAAATAAAGTTCAGAGTGGAAATGTCCGAACATCTGTTCAGGTGAGGCCAAGGCCTTTCCCCGCAGCTAGCTCTGAGGCGAAGGTGGCTCGCTGGAGTTTTTGACAATTAAAATTGTAATAATAATTATTTCATTTTCTGTTCCTCACTTCTGATTACCTTCAATGGTGTCTGTTTGTTGCAACCACCAGGAACAAAAACTAACTTGTTTTTATTTGACTATTTTTCTGTCCTGTCTGTTTATTATCTTCCTGCATCTCCTCTCAATCCTAAAGAAAAACTGCTACCTGGGTTCATATATATTCACCTTATGAGTTACCTTTGAACTGCAGTTCTAAAAGATCTACCGACCGCAGAAACAGTGGAGGGCGCGCCAGCTGCACCGGTGAGGTGCGTCACCGGAGGACAAACAGGTGATGCGCTCCGTTCCACAGCAGCGAAAAGCATCAGGCACAAATAAAAGACAGAAAGCATGAAAGGAAATGAGCCGACATGAACGATCGCGTGTTAAATTTGTTTTTGCGCCTCTCAGTTCTAAATAATCCCGGAGAGTCCACATAGATAATGTAATATCAGTAGAACCAGGATCATTTCGGGCTCCCCTTGGGTGTGGAAGCCGAGGGCTTCCTCACCCTTTGGGGTGAGCCGGGCTCCCTTCAGCTCACCAGTAATTCGAATCCTGCGTATGGCACAAGTTGGTCGCGTGAGTTGCCGGATCCTAGCAGACAGTTCCCGGATCTTGTTCTGACAAGATCCGGCTCAAAATAAGCACTGAATGCAGGAATATTTCTACTGACGTTTGACTAATGAGAGCCCTGGACCACAGACAGCTGAGGAGCCTATATCCCAGAATGTGCACACAGGTCCAGAGGACATGCACATCTGAACTTGAGGAACCACTAGAACAAGTGTTCAACCTCAGTCTGCACCTGGAGAGAAAGTCCATCCTCTGAAAAATATCCTGCATCATTCCAGTCCCCAAAAAGAACCGGGCCGAAGAGAATACAGACGTTGGACCAGTGCTTCTCACGACAGACTTGATGAAGACTGTGGAGGGGCTCTTTCTTAACTACCTCAGACACAGGTACAGCATGCCCAGCACTCCTTACAGTTTGCGTCATAGCCAAATGGGGTGCATCTTGGACAACAGAAGTCTGGTGAGGAAATGTGTTGCATGGAGCCACAAAAACCAAGGAGTTAGTGGTAGACTTTAGGAGGTCTAGACAAGTCCAGAACTGGTTGAGAAGTACAAGTACATCAGCATGTGTGTGGACAATAAACTGGACTGAACACATGATACGCAGCACCTGTACTGGAACAGCCAGAGGAGATTCTCTGTCATCAGGAAGCTCTGCAAGAAGCCCCTGAGGATGTACCAGTGGACTGGATGAACCAGTCTGCAGTAGCCAGCCTAATCTTCTATGTGGTGGTGGTTAGACTGATTATTGCTGTATAAAGATGTGCAATAAGAGTATCATATGAGATTACTAGATGTGCTAATAATCTGTTTCTCACCGCAATAAGTTATTCACCTTTAATCACTGTTGATGTTATGGCTGAAAAACAGAATCTCCCAGATATGAACCCTAACCCTAACCTTCCCAAGGGATCCACAAAATTCATCTGAGTACAAGGACACAGACTGGTCAGCAGGTTATGAAGAAAGAACCAGGTAACTTACCTGTAATGTCTCCCGTCTAGCTGTACCTCTGTGTGTTAAAGGTCTTGATGTGTGTGCGCGGAGGTGTCCATCCTTTTGTCTACCAACACCAAACTCCGACAGCAATACAGAGAGGGCTCTGTCTGCACTGGTTCTCCAGCATACACTATATGTGCTTCTTTTCACACCCCATCCTCAGTACAGTGCTTGTGTATCTGTGTGTTTCTCTCTCTCTCGCTCTTTGTGTGTGTGTGTGTGTGTGCCATGAGCCACACAAGCTCAACAAAAAGCTATCTCTTGATGGCTGTGAAATCCTCTGGATGGAGATAGATGTGTGGCAGGATTACAGAAGTAGACCACCACACACACACACACACACACACACACACACACACACACACACACACACACACACACACACACACACACACACACACACACACACACACACACACACACACACACACACACACACACCAGTCTTTCTATCATAGTGAGGACCTTCATTGACTTCTATTCATTTTTGTGACTCCACCATGCCTAACCCGTACCCTAACCCTAACCATCTATTCCTAACCCGAGCCTCAACTAACACATAACTCACACTATATCTTTAAAACCAACTGGTTTTAAATAAAGCGTGGACCACAAAAATACCCTCACTTTGAAAAATGACTTAACTCTCATGATAGTCCAAGTACACACACACACACACACACACACACACACACATACACACACACACACAAACACACACGCACGCACGCACACACACACACAAATTAGTCAGAAGCACAAATGTTGAAGTAGACTGGGGGAGGAACCGGCAGATAGCCAGCCTCCAAGCACTGCTGTGGGATCATGCGAACATCATATGGGCACATCAAACTGGAGTCCGACATCTGTCGCATAGCCATCTCCCAGGTAACAGGACAAAGATTTCCAGAAGTCTTTTCTTAAACATCACCAGATGCCTCCATTTCGATGGCCCAGCGCGGTCCCCCACCGAGTGTTCACTCACAAGCACATGGCCAGTTTCTTGGTGCACCTGGAAGCCACAGAGGCGATGAGTATTTGCAGCCTCCCTCCTAGAGTCTGAAGGAGTAGAAACAGTCTTTTGTGCACTGCTATTCTTCCATGATGGCGGCCAGCAGAGCACTCTGACCACCAATGTTGCATCAGCGCCGCATATTCCTCCGCCTCAGCCCACCGAGGCCCAGTGGGAGTGCCCTGCGTCAAACTCTATCATCCACATTTATGCAGAACCTCAAAGTAACAAGATCTTCCAATCAAAACTCCCAGCAGCACAATCATTTTAAATAGGCATAGTAGGCCGAGAAAAACACCTACAGAAATACGGGCCATTTAAAGTAGCCCCCAGCAACGTGCCCAGTCCAACAACCATGTATCCAATATATGAAGGTGAATTTTAATCCTGTGTCTACATTTTTACCCTGTGCAGCACTTTTGTGAGCTGACATGCTGTATGACATGGTAATCACTTTAACTCTGCCCCCTTTCAGCCCTTGGGCTCTAAATAACACACAACATCTGATTGATGCAAATTTAAAAGAAAATCTTCTTTGTCAACCTAAGAGGACCTCAATGGGATTTTATTGTAATCGGTCACAGCGCGTTAAACTTGGCTTGTGTCATCACTTGACAGTACCAAACAGATTTATGTGGTTGTTGGTTCAAATCCCTTTAGCTCCACCCCCTTTCAGCCCTTTGGCTGTAGATAACACAGGCAACTTTTGACTGATGCCAAACAAACATAAAACCTTCTTTGTCAACCTAAAATGACCTCAACGGTGATATTAATACAATTGGTCACAGCGCCCTCTACATAACTTCATACTTTAATAACTTCTTTAATAACTTTAATAACGCTAGGCCGGAGCTGCGAGGGCTGAACGCCGCTGCTTAAAGCTTTAATTCCCATCGTCTTCTGTAAGTCTTTTGGACCGCTTCTTCATATTTTCAGCTATTTTAACAAATTTGGTACCAAAACGTTCAGCTCGCTTAGCTCTTTACGGGTTTAACTTTTGGTATTTAAATATTTTATACTTTTTGAGATATTCAGGTTTTTCTACAATTTCTTCCTCCATTGAAATGAATGGGATCCGACCTCTTTCTTCTAGGGGTTAACCTTAACCTAGAGACTTCATTCAAATTTTAACACACTCCCAAGACTTTCAGCTACTTTAACCCAGCTTCTTGATATCTTTTATGGTTTTTCTAACATTTTTGAATTTTTCCAGTCGGTGCAGCAGTTTTCGAGTCGAGATGAGAAGTTTCAGCGGTCTGAAATGACATCGGATGAAGCTGAGAACAGTAAACTGCATGAGTAATAAAAATCGTCAAAGTGCAAGTCAGCCCCTACCAGAGTCTTAAGCTTGGTTTATGCTTGACGCATTTACTTTCTGCTTGGAGATGTGGCTCACGGATGGAACGCGCTTCACAACTTGCAGCGTTTATGGTTCATGTGGCTTGTCTTTGCGGTGAGCCAATATTCTCCCAAACTGTAGGGGGCAGCATGGAGCTCTACGGCATGCATTCAACAATACACCATAGTAGAAGTAAAAATTACTGTTGTTTACAACACGGCATTCCAGCATTTTTTAAAAGCGTCCTCGTCTTTTCCGACAGTGCGAGCTATTTCTCTCCAAGAATTATTAACAACATGTTGACCGCTGTGATCTTTGAGAGCTGAATCATACAAATGTCTGTATTTACGAACCTCTGCCATACTAGTTCTTGCCAGTCCGCCATGTTTTTTGGTGTTCGACCATCCACGTCGTTAGAAAATTTCCTAGGTGCGCGGTGCGGAAAGTTTGGGCCGTGCGGAGGCCAGTTGGAGGGGGGTGGTTGTTAAAATGACACAATTTTGCCGCACGGAGCTGTGCGAACCTCACGGACGCGTCAAGCATAAACCAAGCTTTACTCCACTCCAATTTTCCGTTGAAAAATGCAAGAAATGCTGTTGCCTGACACACCAACAGGTCAGAGCCACTAACAAATACACACACAGGCTCACAACGTCATTGTGACATCACAATGTACCAGCTAACGTCACAGTGTACCTCTTAGCCAATAGCGATGGCACACTTAAATTCAAGATGTCAGTTTTAGGCAGAATATTTAAATTTTAACTAAGATGCACTTAAGTGCCAAAATATTGATTACACTTAGAAAAATGAGACAGTCCAAATGTTAATAGGGCCACTAGCTTACTGCTATTATGGATCAGTCCGAAGTCGGCACAAAAAGCGTCGGTACTGTGGGCCCAAAAAGAATGTCCGCCAACCACGGTACGCCTGATAGAGAGCCCAGCGGTGGCACTGATGCACATTAATAGTTATTAATGAAATAGCTCTCTAAAGGGCCTCCAGTTGAGATGCTAACACTAGCATGAATGTACAAAGATGAAAAACAAAAACGTGGCCCTACGTGACAAATATAAAATTCCAGTCATTAAAAATAAATATTTAATTTTCCACCATAAAACTCCTAAAATTACTATAGTCCAAGTGATGTTTCATTTCATGTCATGTTTATTAAGTAAGCTAAACTTTGACATGATCTATATATTGACTTAATACTAAGCAAAACCACAATTTACATTAAGAGTGATGAACTTACCCTTTAGAAGCTTTCAAGTTGGAGGATGAACACTGATTGTCTTCTTTTTCTTCTTCTTCAACGTACCTGATTGTTCAAGTTGAGAACTTCAAAAATGTGCTTAAAAGGAAATACTGTATTAGACCGCTTTTTGCCATAATTTTCCGGCTGTCATAATTCAAAAGAAAAAAACATCAGATTTAACATTATCCTACCGTAATTTGGAAAAACTGTATGTTGCTGTTGGAATTCTGCCGTAAATTTACCGAAATTTCTAAGAGTGTAGTTGTAAAATAAAATATGAACTGGAATTGGATTCGTGAGGATTTCTGTCGCACCACAAAAGGTCCCAAATCCCAGCACAGCAGAAGGATTTCTTCCTCACGGAGAACACGCTCCCTCCAGAGAGCACACCCTGTGAAATCTTCTAATAACACAGATATGTGATAACATCATGTCAGATTCCCGTCGGTCACATGTGTCTTTTATTGGTTTTAGCACCAATAATGCACTAAAGCCATTTGTCCACCGCCATAGCTACATACTGGGTAAATATCATTAGTGGATGAGGAACACGAGTGGACGACTGAAAGAAAGAAGAAGAAAGAAAACATCATTTCTATAGCGCCTCTCAGGATAAAAAACTCAAGGTGCTTCACAAAAACAAAAAATGTAAAAATATAAAAAAGCATTTAGAAAATGTTTAAAAATATATTTAAAATGAGCAAAAAAAAGTCAATTGTGATAAAAAAAATGTTAAGAAAGAGAGAGTGAACAGGAAAGAGGGAAATCAGTGGATCCTGAGAAGGTGGAATAGGTGGGGAGAGCAGAATAAAGAGAGAGTGGTGAAGAAGATCATACAAAAGCCAGCTTGAACAAGTGAGTCTTCAGCTGCTTTTTAAAGGAGACCACTGAGTCCACTGATCTCAGGCTCAGGGGAGAGAGGTCCAGAGTCTGGGGGCCACAGCAGCAAATGATCTGTCACCTTTGGTCTTTAGCCTGGTGCTGCACAACCAGTAGGCTTTGATCACTGGACCTCAGGGACCTGCTGGGGGTGTAGGGACTGAAGATCACCAATGTAAGATGGTGCTTGTCCATGTAAGGCCCTATAGACCAGAACCAGGATCTTGAAATGAACCCTGAAGTTGACTGGCAGCCAGTGAAGCTGGAGGAGAAACGGGGTAATGTGGGTGTGTTTGGAGGACTTGGTCAGAAGCCGAGCACAGGCATTCTGAACCACCTGTAGACGGTTCAGGGAGGTTCTGCTCAGACACGTGAAAAGAGAGTTACAGTAGTCTAAGCGTGATGAGATGAAGGTGTGGAGAACTGTCTCAAGTTCAGAGCGGAACAGAATGGGACTCAGCTTAGCAATGTTCCTGAGATGGAAGAAGGAATAGCGAACAAGAGAACTGACATGAGAATCCAGGGTGAGAGCTGGGTCAAAGGTCACGCCAAGATTCCTGACAGAAGGTTTGGTGTGAGAAGCAAGCTGACCAAGAAAGTCTCTGACTTTGGGAACCAGCTTGTCTGGAGCACAGATGAGGATCTCAGTCTTATCTTCATTCAGCTGAAGAAAGCTCCCACCATCCAGGTTTTGATAAGAGTCTAAGCAGGAGGAGCTCAGGATGTGCTGAAGAGGAAGCAGATAGATGAGGAAGCGCAGAGACCCCAGCACAGAACCTTGTGGGACACCATGGGTAAGGGAGGTGGTGGAGGACCTAAATTGGAGACAGCCACAGAAAAGGAGCACTCAGAGAGATAAGAGGAGAACCACTCCAGAGCAGATCCTGATAGGCCTACCCAGTCTCTGAGCCTCTCCAGTAGCAGGTGATGGTCAGCAGTGTCAAAGGCTGCAGTCAGGTCCAGCAGGACAAGAACAGAACAGTCCCCTGCATCACTGTGAGTCAGAAGATCATTAGAGACCCTAAGAAGAGCTGCTTCAGTAGAATGAGCTCTACGAAAACCTGACTGGAAGCTATCATAGATGTTATGTTCATCAAGAGCAGCTGTGAGTTGTTTAGCCACAACCTTTTCCAAGATCTTGGAGATGAACGGAAGTTTAGAGATGGGTCTGAAGCTGCTATGGAGAGAGGGGTCGAGACTCGTTTTTGTAAGAAGCGGGAGGATTACAGCGTTCTTAAAGTAAGCAGGGACCTGACCAGAGACCAGAGAAGCATTAATTATAGAGAGCACGCTAGGACCGATGGACTGAAAAGCACTTTTAAACAAAGATGAGGGTAAGATACAGCGCCTTGTTTGGTTGTAATGCCTTGTGAATGCGCTTTATAAATAAAATTGGATTGGATTGGATTGGATAAGATGTACTGAGACCCTCAGTACTGCTGTTCCCCGTGCTACCACTAGATGCTGCTCCTACGCACAGTCACAGCTGTTCTTATGTCTAGGAACATGTTCACGCACAAGTACAAGTTGGTAAGTACCACACAATGCGTAAAATCGTGTTTACGCATGAATTTGTGCACAGTTCTGTGCGTGAGTACAGTTGATAAATGAGAGCTCTGGTTTTTCTCCACAGATGCAGTGGGAATGTGTTTCTGGGACTACGTACATTTTAAAGCCAGAGAGATGGAGAGTGACTAATTATCACCAATTTCACGACTCTTCAGTGGATTTTGTAGAGTTTTTAAACTGAAATGAGAATTGGATGATTCATATTTGAGATGATTTCTAAATGTCTGGCCTGGACTGGATGTTGTTTCATCACTGAAGTACGTGGTCGATGTTGCACTGTTAGTGAGACCTGTTGAGGCACTGACAGACTGCAGGTATCGTGTTACTCAGCAGCAGCTCACCTCAGCAGAGCTGGTCCGGGTTCATTCCACCGGCACCGACTGGATGTGTCTGCATCTCATCTGAACGGTACCAGACTTTGTCAGCCAAAGAACCAGAGGATGAGGTCAAGACTGTTGTTCTCTACTGCAAACTGAATTGGAGAGTAGCAGTTCTGGTTAGGACCCATGAGAGGACCCATTCTGAGCTGAGGACTACAGCCGAACATCTAACAGGTAAATCCAGCATTTCTGGTACTGCGCTGTGTCTCCTACAGTGGGTCGACCCAATGGCTGCTTCTTTATCCTGCAAAAAACAAAACAAAACAAAAAAACATCTAACCAGTCAGCATGTTGGCTTTCACAGGCCTGTCTGTTCTGCCAGTTTAATAGGAGCTCATCAAACCTAAAGCTATTAAAATGAGTAAAACCAACAAGATCTATTCAAGTACTGAAACAAGAACCAGAGTCTGGTCCATATTCAGACACCAGCAACTCTGACACAAAGGCTGAATCTGAATGAATCCCTAGTTGTCTTTCTTTATAATCTGAAGCAGTTACTGAACACACTCAGCTCTTCTTATAACACCAGAGCATAACTAATAAACTCTATTTGTAACACCAGAGCATAACTAATGAACTCTATTTGTAACACCAGAGCATAACTAATAAACTCTATTAGTAACACCAGAGCATAACTAATAAACTCTATTTGTAACACCAGAGCATAACTAATAAACTATTTGTAACACCAGAGCATAACTAATGAACTCTGTAACACCAGAGCATAACTAATAAACTCTATTTGTAACACCAGAGCATAACTAATGAACTCTATTTGTAACACCAGAGCATAACTAATAAACTCCATTTGTAACACCAGAGCATAACTAATAAACTCTATTTGTAACACCAGAGCATAACTAATAAACTCATTACACCAGAGCATAACTAATAAACTCTATTTGTAACACCAGAGCATAACTAATAAACTCATAAAACCAGAGCATAACTAATAAACTATATTTGTAACACCAGAGCATAACTAATAAACTCTATTTGTAACACCAGAGCATAACTAATAAACTCTATTTGTAAAACCAGAGCATAACTAATGAACTCTATTTGTAACACCAGAGCATAACTAATGAACTCTATTTGTAACACCAGAGCATAACTAATAAACTCTATTAGTAACACCAGAGCATAACTAATAAACTCTATTTGTAACACCAGAGCATAACTAATAAACTATTTGTAACACCAGAGCATAACTAATGAACTCTATTTGTAACACCAGAGCATAACTAATAAACTCTATTTGTAACACCAGAGCATAACTAATGAACTCTATTTGTAACACCAGAGCACAACTAATAAACTCTATTTGTAACACCAGAGCATAACTAATAAACTCTATTTGTAACACCAGAGCATAACAAATAAACTATTTGTAACACCAGAGCATAACTAATAAACTATTTGTAACACCAGAGCATAACTAATGAACTCTATTTGTAACACCAGAGCATAACTAATAAACTCTATTTTTAACACCAGAGCATAACTAATGAACTCTATTTGTAACACCAGAGCATAACTAATAAACTCTATTTGTAACACCAGAGCATAAATAATAAAGTCTATTTGTAACACCAGAGCATAACTAATAAACTCTATTTGTAACACCAGAGCATAAATAATAAACTCTATTTGTAACACCAGAGCATAACTAATAAAATATTTGTAACACCAGAGCATAACTAATGAACTATTTGTAACACCAGAGCATAAATAATATACTCTATTTGTAACACCAGAACATAACTAATAAACTCTATTTGTAACACCAGAGTATAACTAATAAACTCTATTTGTAACACCAGAGCATAACTAATGAACTCTATTTGTAACACCAGAGCATAACTAATAAACTCTATTTTTAACACCAGAGCATAACTAATGAACTCTATTTGTAACACCAGAGCATAACTAATAAACTCTATTTGTAACACCAGAGCATAAATAATAAACTCTATTTGTAACACCAGAGCATAACTAATAAACTCTATTTGTAACACCAGAGCATAACTAATAAACTCTATTTGTAACACCAGAGCATAACTAATAAACTCTATTTGTAACAACAGAGCATAACTAATAAACTCTATTTGTAACACCAGAGCATAAATAATATACTCTATTTGTAACACCAGAACATAACTAATAAACTCTATTTGTAACACCAGAGCATAACTAATAAACTCTATTTGTAACACCAGAGCATAACTAATAAACTCTATTTGTAACACCAGAACATAACTAATAAACTCTATTTGTAACACCAGAGCATAACTAATAAACTCTATTTGTAACACCAGAGCATAACTAATGAACTCTATTTGTAACACCAGAGCATAACTAATGAACTCTATTTGTAACACCAGAGCATAACTAATAAACTCTATTTGTAACACCAGAGCATAACTAATGAACTCTATTTGTAACACCAGAGCATAACTAATAAACTCTATTTGTAACACCAGAGCAAAACTAATAAACTCTATTTGTAACACCAGAGCATAACTAATAAACTATTTGTAACACCAGAGCATAACTAATGAACTCTATTTGTAACACCAGAGCATAACTAATAAACTATTTGTAACACCAGAGCATAACTAATAAACTCCATTTGTAACACCAGAACATAACTAATAAACTCTATTTGTTAGCCTAGTGAACTAGACCAAATTCTTGCTTTGCAAAGTTTGGTCTAGGCACGCTCCATTGGAACCTCAGCAGCTCCTACCAGGACTCTGGCTAGCCAATCACAGCTCTCTAGAGGGGTTTCAAACACATAAAGAGCTGTGATTGGTCCATAATGGTGGGCCAATCATAGTGCTCTATCTGCTTAGTGAACAAATCACAGAGCTTTATCCGCTTTGTGGGCCAATCAGGGCACTCTATGTGCCTGGTGGGTGGGATGATGCAACAGAGTGAAACAAGAGTATGTCACATTCATTGTCCAGTAGGATGCGGAGATCATTTGAAAGACAACGGTAGAACCCGCCCCACAACCGAGAGCCGTCAATGGAGCGTGGCCAGACTAAATAATACATTTATTTAGTCTGGCTTGCCAGGCTATCTATTTGTAACACCAGAGCATAACTAATAAACTATTTGTAACACCAGAGCATAACTAATAAACTATTTGTAACTCCAGAGCATAACTAATGAACTCTATTCGTAACACCAGAGCATAACTAATAAACTCTATTTGTAACACCAGAGCATAACTAATAGACTCTATTTGTAACACCAGAGCATAACTAATAAACTCTATTTGTAACACCAGAACATAACTAATAAACTCTATTTGTAACACCAGAGCATAACTAATTAACTATTTGTAACACCAGAGCATAACTAATAAACTCTATTTGTAACACCAGAGCATAACTAATAAACTCTATTTGTAACACCAGAGCATAACTAATAAACTATTTGTAACACCAGAGCATAACTAATGAACTCTATTTGTAACACCAGATCATAACTAATAAACTCTATTTGTAACACCAGAGCATAACTAATAAACTCTATTTGTAACACCAGAGCATAACTAATAAACTCTATTTGTAACACCAGAGCATGACTAATGAACTCTATTTGTAACACCAGAGCATAACTAATGAACTCTATTTGTAACACCAGAGCATAACTAATAAACTCTATTTGTAACACCAGAGCATAACTAATGAACTCTATTTGTAACACCAGAGCATAACTAATAAACTATTTGTAACACCAGAGCATAACTAATAAACTCTATTTGTAACACCAGAGCATAACTAATAAACTATTTGTAACACCAGAGCATAACTAATAAACTCCATTTGTAACACCAGAACATAACTAATAAACTCTATTTGTAACACCAGAGCATAACTAATAAACTATTTGTAACACCAGAGCATAATTAATAAACTATTTGTAACTCCAGAGCATAACTAATGAACTCTATTCGTAACACCAGAGCATAACTAATAAACTATATTTGTAACACCAGAGCATAACTAATAGACTCTATTTGTAACACCAGAGCATAACTAATAAACTCTATTTGTAACACCAGAACATAACTAATAAACTCTATTTGTAACACCAGAGCATAACTAATAAACTATTTGTAACACCAGAGCATAACTAATAAACTCTATTTGTAACACCAGAGCATAACTAATAAACTCTATTTGTAACACCAGAGCATAACTAATAAACTCTATTTGTAACACCAGAGCATAACTAATAAACTATTTGTAACACCAGAGCATAACTAATGAACTCTATTTGTAACACCAGAGCATAACTAATAAACTCTATTTGGAACACCAGAGCATAACTAATGAACTCTATTTGTAACACCAGAGCATAACTAATAAACTCTATTTGTAACACCAGAGCATAACTAATAAACTCTATTTGTAACACCAGAGCATAACTAATAAACTATTTGTAACACCAGAGCATAACTAATGAACTCTATTTGTAACACCAGAGCATAACTAATAAACTCTATTTGTAACACCAGAGCATAACTAATAAACTCTATTTGTAACACCAGAACATAACTAATAAACTCTATTTGTAACACCAGAGCATAACTAATAAACTATTTGTAACACCAGAGCATAACTAATAAACTCTATTTGTATCACCAGAGCATAACTAATAAACTCTATTTGTAACACAGGAGCATAACTAATAAACTATTTGTAACACCAGAGCATAACTAATGAACTCTATTTGTAACACCAGAGCATAACTAATAAACTCTATTTGTAACACCAGAACATAACTAATAAACTCTATTTGTAACACCAGAGCATAACTAATAAACTATTTGTAACACCAGAACATAACTAATAAACTCTATTTGTAACACCAGAACATAACTAATAATCTCTATTTGTCACACCAGAGCATAACTAATAAGCTCTATTTGTAACACCAGAGCATAACTAATAAACTATTTGTAACACCAGAGCATAACTAATAAACTCCATATGTAACACCAGAGCATAACTAATAAACTATTTGTAACACCAGAGCATAGCTATTAAACTCATAACACCAGGGCATAACTAATAAACTATTTGTAACACCAGAGCATAACTAATAAACTCTATTTGTAACACCAGAGCATAACTAATAAACTCTATTTGTAACACCAGAGCATAACTAATAAACTCTATTTGTAACACCAGAGCATAACTAATAAACTATTTGTAACACCAGAGCATAACTAATGAACTCTATTTGTAACACCAGAGCATAACTAATAAACTCTATTTGGAACACCAGAGCATAACTAATGAACTCTATTTGTAACACCAGAGCATAACTAATAAACTCTATTTGTAACACCAGAGCATAACTAATAAACTCTATTTGTAACACCAGAGCATAACTAATAAACTATTTGTAACACCAGAGCATAACTAATGAACTCTATTTGTAACACCAGAGCATAACTAATAAACTCTATTTGTAACACCAGAGCATAACTAATAAACTCTATTTGTAACACCAGAACATAACTAATAAACTCTATTTGTAACACCAGAGCATAACTAATAAACTATTTGTAACACCAGAGCATAACTAATAAACTCTATTTGTATCACCAGAGCATAACTAATAAACTCTATTTGTAACACAGGAGCATAACTAATAAACTATTTGTAACACCAGAGCATAACTAATGAACTCTATTTGTAACACCAGAGCATAACTAATAAACTCTATTTGTAACACCAGAACATAACTAATAAACTCTATTTGTAACACCAGAGCATAACTAATAAACTATTTGTAACACCAGAACATAACTAATAAACTCTATTTGTAACACCAGAACATAACTAATAATCTCTATTTGTCACACCAGAGCATAACTAATAAGCTCTATTTGTAACACCAGAGCATAACTAATAAACTATTTGTAACACCAGAGCATAACTAATAAACTCCATATGTAACACCAGAGCATAACTAATAAACTATTTGTAACACCAGAGCATAGCTATTAAACTCATAACACCAGGGCATAACTAATAAACTATTTGTAACACCAGAGCATAACTAATAAACTCTATTTTTAACACCAGAGCATAACTAATAAACTATTTGTAACACCAGAGCATAACTAATAAACTCTATTTTTAACACCAGAGCATAACTAATAAGCTCTATTTGTAACACCAGAGCATAACTAATAAACTCTATTTATAACACCGGAGCATAACTAATAAACTCTATTTATAACACCAGAGCATAACTAATAAACTCTATTTATAAGGTTGGGATCTGTCTGCTTATTTAACCTCCTCGGATGTCTCCTGTGTCCCACACCGTATCAAACCTATAAATGATCTACCAGGATCATGTCAGATAATAGCAGTTTATGTCACTCACTCACTCACTCACTCACTCACTCACTCACTCACTCACTCACTCACTCACTCACTCACTCACGTTAACCTGACATGAATAATTGTGCTTTGCATCGCCATGACCATATATGGCAGACAGAGGGCATGTAGGAGCAGCAGGATGTGATCAATAACACCTGAAAGTGTTTCTATGAAGAGTGGGATAAAGCAGGAATTGTGGGAGCAGTGTGTTATAGTTTAAACAATAGTTAGCATAAGAAGTTTTTTCTTTAGCTGACGTTTTAGTGAGAATTCTACACCAAGTTTTATAAATGAGGACCCCGGTCCTTAAACAGTTCCAATACCGTGGTGTCTTGTTGCTGAGTAACGGTAGGATCAGGGGCGGCGTTAGGCCCGGCTACTTGGGCTCAAGCCCCGAATGTTTTATGAAAAGCCCCAGATCTAAAACGTGGAAGTAACATGCAGTACCAAAGTCCAACAGAGAGGGAGCAGCTGGCAGTAGTTTGTATACAGCCTGCCTGAGCCGCCACCACTGAAGAAGCCCTTCAGCAGTCGGCTTCTTCTACAGTCTCTGTCTGAAACTCATGTGTGAAAATGGACATAAGGACGTTTTTTAGACCAAAAAAACCGCGACAGAACCCCAGCTTTGATGAGACTGTTGTTGACTCAGGTTTGTGAGTCTTATTTGAAAATATTTGTGATTTTTAATATATATGATGTTGACCAGTGCGTGTCACGTATGTGTGTGTGTGTGCGCGCGCGTGTGTTAAGCCCCGGTTCTTCTTCAGTTCTAAATCCGCCCCTGGGTAGGATGAAGGAGAGGTGGACTGATCAGGACTTCATATGCAGAATTTAAAGCATTGATGGTCTGTGGTGGTGAAAGGGGGCAGAGCTAAATCTTTGTGTATGGTCATGAGAACTTGATCTGGACCATTAGAACCAGATCCTGAGAGGGGGGTCAGAGTACAGCTGCTGCTCCTCCTCATTGAAGTTTCCTCTGAGGTTGTTCTAATCAGCATGCCCTCTGATCTCCTCCCTCCGCCACTGGGAGGAGATCCAGCAATAACTGGGGTTTATAACTTTGTGTGGCAAGGTGGAGAAACGAGGGCCCGGGTGGGATTCGATCCCCAGACTCCCGGGTGAGAGTCATACGCTCTAACCAGTCAGACAAAGGGACATCCCCTTGGCCAAGTAGCCAGGGCGCATGATCTATCGGGACACTGTGACAGGACACTCACACTGCCTCACTTGCACAGTCCAACTGCTTTGTGTTTTTTCAGGACCAGTCAGGTTGGACCATGCAGTCTTTAACTCAGGAGATCCAGAGCTTTTCTCGGTCACGGCTGAGGAAGCAGTGCACCCGTGTGACATCATTAAGTGGTCGTCGCATCATAGAGACCTGGAAAGGTTCAACCATTACTGTGATGGAGGACCCCGTACCCCCTGAGAAGATGCTGGGCTACATTCCTGATACATCCTGGGACCTGCAGGTTGGCGTGGTTAAACCCTTCCTGCTGCTGGGTGAGTAAACCACACCTCAACTTCATGATCCTCTAACATCAAAGCCAGAGAACCACACACAGCGCTCTACTGCCCCCGCTGCTCCTCTCCTGTTTCACGAGATTAGTGCACTGCTTCCTGTCCTCGTTAAAGCAGACAAGTCCCAGTCATCTAGAGGCAGAAGAGTTCATAACTGAAGAGTTGCAGGGTGGAGCCCTGCACAGTTTGTTGCAGTCATTGTGTCTTTGGGCAAGACACTTCACCCAGAAACAAATTTGTCCACTAGAGGGGGCTGTCACATGTTCCACGTTGAGTCACATTTTTACGTGACTCAAGGTGGTACAGCTTCTTAAAAGAACAGGAACGCTGCCAACCTACACGTCTTTTCATTTTTTAATTATCTAATTCATTGACATGGGAACAATGATCAGGATAAGACTCAGAAAGTTTGATAACGATAAATTTTCGATTTATTGCCCAGCCCTACAAGGAGCTATATAAATACAGGCCATGTACCACCATTAAAGTCCTTCTTATGGGATATTCAATTCAATTCAATTTTATTTGTGAAGCGCCAAATCACGACAAGAGTCGTCTCAAGGACCTTCCCACAGTAGACATTCCAATACAGGTCATTAAGCCAATCAGTAAAAAGCTTCCTATATAAGGAACCTAGCAGGTTGCGTCAAGTCACTGACTAGTGTCAGAGTCTTTACAGCAATCCTCATACTAAGCAAGCATTTAGTGACTGTGGAGAGGAAAACTCCCTTTTAACAGGAGGAAACACCCAGAGGATCCTGGCTCAGTATAAAGCTTGGTTTATGCTTGACGCATTCACTTTCCGCTTGGTGATGTGGCTCGCGGATGGAACGCGCTTCACAACTCGCAGCGTTTATGGTTCATGCGGCTTGTCTCTGCAGTGAGCCAATATTCTCCCAAACTGTAGGGGGAAGCATGGAGCTCTACGGCATGCATCCAACACTACACCGTAGTAGAAGTAGAAATTACTGTTGTTTACAACATGGCATTCCAGCATTTTTTAACAGCGTCCTCGTCTTTTCCGACAGTGTGAGCTATTTCTCTCCAAGAATTATTAACAACATGTTGATCACGGTGATCTCTGAGAGCTGAATCATACAAATGTCTGTATTTACGAACCTCTGCCATACTAGTTCTTGCCGGTCTGCTATGTTTTTCCGTGTTCGACCGTCCGCGTGGTTAGAAAATTTCCTAGGTGCGCAGTGCGGAAATTTTGGGCCGTGCGGAGGCGCGGTGGAGGGGCGTGGTTGTTAAAATGATGCAAAATGACGCAACTTTTCCGCGCGGAGCCGTGCAGACCTCGCAGAAGCTTCAAGCATAAACCAACCTTAAGTAGCCATCCACCACGACTCACTGGGAATGGAGAAGACAGAGCAGACACACACACACACACACACCAAGCAATGTGTCTATGGTTACATTGTGATTTCTTAGTAAATATTCTATTTGGCGAGAGATAAACTTTATTGTATTTATCCTAGTGAATCTATAATTAAACAGGTAAACTAGCAGTAGCACATCCAATGTCATAGAAAGTTAAATGTTATTATCAGGAGAGGGAGAATGTTTAAGTGGTTAGCAGCAGTGTGCTAGATGATGGCCCCCTCCATGAGGCCACCACAGCTCAGCAGAACATCATTGTAGCTTCTTCTGGGGAGAAAAACACTTAGAGAAAAATAAAGTTAACAGCTGAAATAGCAGGAAATAATACAGTTAAAGAGCAGATTGTAGAAGAAAGTAGTAGAGTGTGGAAAGTGGTCAGTGGGAATGGTGCTCCGAGATGACTTCTCTTGTGACCTGCTCTCTCCGAACAACACAGCAAGAATCCCTGTTAGCCCCGAAATAGTCAGGATATGAACCTGATGGAGGTGTGTGTGTGTGTGTGTGTGTTTTTTCTCACAGGTTCACAGGATGCTGCTAATGACTTTGGCACTTTGAGGAAACACAAGGTGAGTATGAGGTTGTTTAGATGTTGTTATTTATCAGACACACATGAAAGTTAAGAGTTCTTCTCCAGATAAGTTCATTTCATTTATCCGTCAGCTCCTTCTCCTTTGCCTACAGTCACACACCTCAGGGTGTGCTACTTCCTTTCTTGGTTTAAATCCAGCTGACTTCACATCCACAGCAACCCAGGAGAGCAGATGACCTGATGTTAGGAAACCTTTAGTAAATGCCAGATTTCTGCAGCCTTAGAGGAAAATAAGGCTAACTATAATGAATTCCTACAATATGACAGTGTCACATCCTGAATATTTTGTCAGTGTTTCATGTTTCCAGCGTATTTTAACCACAGCCTAAATCCTAGAAAAGCTTCATGTGCTTTGTCTCAGGTTTCTCACATTCTGAATGTGGCTTTTGGCGTGGAGAATGTGTTTCCAGACCTGTTCGTCTACAAAGTCCTCAGTATTCTGGACCATCCGGACACGGACCTGCTTGTACATATGCAGGAATGCTGTGACTTCATAGAGCAAGCTCGATGTGAGGTAAAGACGTTGTGGTGTACACAGCATTCATCTTCTACCTATTGTTCCAGTTCTGGGCCACAGGGAGATGGGCCTCTGGTCCAAGTGTCCTTTTCTATGCAAAATATCAGATTTATAAGCAGTGACCCGACTGTAGAAAGGTTCTAAACATGACATCTACTACCTGTCTGGCTTACGAACCTTTTAGACCATTGTTCTGTTGGAGACACTTAAGCTTAGTTTCTACGTCTCCATCAGCACGTTTGTACTCACACACTCACGTATGGACGGAGACGTTTTCCTGTTTCTTTCACGTGTGTATTGAGAGACGAACATACATAGAAACTAGGGACGTTACCATTACGCTTTTTTGCTCCGGATCCGACTCCGAGTCATTTGATTTTGAGTATCTGCCGCGATACCGAGTCCAGATCCCATACTTTTCAGCAAAGCATTGAAATAATAAGAAGACACATCCAAAGTGTCCTTTAAGTTTCACTTTCATGTATCAGGAAGTACACAATTAAAAACCTGTTAATGTTGTGAATAAGCAGCAGCGTTGCTCTTATTTCTCGTTGTTTACTCCCTCAATATGCAGCTGTGAGCCATGTTCACACAGGCAAGCGGAGCATAACACCTGTAGCTCTAGCACCGGGAGCACGGTCCAGCCAGCAATGGGGCGTATTAAGCACCGGTGCTGCAGAACTAGCAACCCTGATGTTCTGCAGTCTGTTGGCAATTTCTCTTTGGTTATTAGCGTAACTTTCTCTGTGGGCTGGTCCCGCGGATTAGTCTGACTTCACTGTGAACTGTGACTGTTAGAGGCAAACTGGGGATTAATGGAGACTTTATGCTTTGTTGATGCTTGAAGGGAAAAGCCGACAGTGAAAGTAGCTTGTTTGAATGCAGCGAATCAAGGAGCTGTCCTTAACCGCATGTTGAACACCTAGATTGCACACGTTACAAGTGTCTGCAGCTCTTGCTGTTCGATTTAAAACCACAAAGCTGCAGATATTTGAGCTCTCCTGAGGAAACACGTTAGCTCTGTGTTAGCAGGCTTGCTAACAGCGACACTTGGTGTCTGAGTCCTTGCCTGCTGTAAATTGTGTGTTGTTACTTTGTTTTCCTACAAGAAACAAATATTATTGATTTAGAGGGACTTATTGAAATTAAAACCAAGACATTTTTATTCTATTTGAAAATCTGTGTCTCAGGATGAATTTTAAATGCCACGTTTGTTGTTTTAAAAGGTTAAACCTTTCCTTTCAAAGACACGTGATCTAGCCTGATTTCCGATCATGGGATCAGATCGGAGCATCCTCGATAAAACACTTGACCATAGAATTGGTTCCACTTACATGTAGATTCTTTTCCTTTTCTTCCACAGCAATAAAACAAAAACATTCAATGGTAAATGGCCCGTATTTGATATAGCGCCTTCTAGAGTCCTGGAACCTCCCAAGGCGCTTTACAACACAATCAGTCATTCACCCATTCACACACACATTCACACACTGGTGGGGATGAGCTACAATGGTTCCACAGCTGCCCTGCCAGTTGCCAGGCGAGGCTGCCGAGCACAGGTGCCACTGGTCCCTCCGACTACCACTAGCAGGGCAAGGGGGGTTAATTGTCTTGCCCAAGAACACAACAACAGCGTCAATCTGAGCGGGGTTCGAACCTGCAACCTTTCGGTTACGGGGCGAGCACTCAACTCCTGTGCCACCATCACCCTACCCTACCTACGTACTTCCCTAAAGAAAATGGGGTGGAAAAGCATGTTAATTTGGCACAACACTTGGTGACCTGTAGTTATCCACAAAGGGGCTCCATGTGAGAGCAAATGTTCCAGAAGCGTCCTTTATCTGTTTTTACAAAACAATGCTGTCAGTTTTGCTCAATGCCATGGCGGCATCAGGGAGCCTTAAGTCGTTTATGAGTGGTCAGATCGTGTCTGTCATGTTGTGGCGTAGTTTCCTGGCTCAGAACATGCAGAATCACAAAACGGAGTCTAATTAACATAAGAAGAAAAGTTTTAATAAGGATAATAATCCAGATGGTTACGGTCGGAGGAGAGTTGACAGTGGGGAACCTGAGACAGCACAGGAGGTGTTATCACTGGAGAACAAGAAACTGCAGATCAGGAGGTGAGTGAGTAATTCCAAAACACCGGTAGCAAAAACACTAGCAACAAATCCTCAAGGAGAAGAGTTGCACAAGTATAACAGGCTATTGAGTTCACTAGAAACACTAGAAACTGTGTGGCTGGTACTAACCCTAACCCCCCTCAAAGGTGGTAATTCCATGATGGGCATATGTATAATCAGTGAGACCAGGAGAAAATAAATGGCTTACAGTGATGGGCATGTGAGCGGATGGGGAAGTATATTTAAACTGATTAGACTAGCTTGTTCCACAGGGTTAGTTGTAAAGCGAGGCAGATTGAGTGGCAACGAACACACTAATACCTCTAAGGAGCGCTCTAACTTACATAGCCGTTCGCAGGAATCTAAAAATTATTTTAATGTAAATCTTTCCCCCCACCTCTTCCTTTCCTCTACCCCCCTTTGCTTTCATTTCTGTCTCTGTGTCCATTGGGATTTAAAACAACCAAAAATATTTCTAATAAACAGAGGTGATGTGTCACAGCTGAAGCTTTACTGCTCTACCTGTGAGAGTAAAACTGTAAGGCTTGTCTTCAGCGCTCAGACATCAATTCTGATTGTTTTAGGCAGGACAGGACATGGGAAAAAACAAAAAAAGGAATCTAGTCAATATGATAACTTACAAATATAAGTGAACCAATAATAAAATAAAAAGTTAGGCTAGACAAGACCACCATCACGTTTCATTCCACGTAATAATGATTTTCTTACCCTGGGATGTTTCCCTTTCCACAAAAAAAAAAAAAAAAAAAAAAAAAAACTAGCTGATCTAATTGTCACTGGCATACTGGGAGGCATTGAAGCAAAAACAGCAACTGGAGCAGGACATTCATCTTGACCATATTAATTCGGCCAATTGAAGACAGAGGTAATGAAGTCCAGCTTTAGAAGTCAGTTTTGAGCTGGGTGATCAGAGGTGAGAAGTTGGATGCATGTAATGAAGACAAAATACGAGTTACACTGACTCCTAAATACTTTAATTCAGAGGGGCTACCTTTAAAAGGAATATCAGCTCGTTTGATTACAAGAGCTAAGGGATTTATTGGGAAACATTCACTCTTGGAAAGATCAATCCAGACAAAGAGCCAAACCTTTTTAACAAAGACACTATCTGTGGTGTACAGGACAGAGGATCAGAAACAAAAGCAGATCGTCTGCATATAAGGATAATTTTATTTCAAGGTCTGATCAAAAATACCACTAAAATGAAAAAGAGACTTCAAGGTCACAGAAAAGGGTTCAATAGTGACAACAAAAAGTAAAGGGGATAATAGACAACCATGCCTAGTACTGCATAGGGGTGGGAATCTTCAGGAACTTCACGATTCGATTACGATTCAGGGAGCTCCGATTATTGATTCATCTTTCTCCTCCCTCACCTGGCTGCCAAGTGATTACGTGGTACTTAAGAAAAACATTTGTAATGATGAAACATTAATTTACATCCAATGTTTTAAAGAAAAGAAGTGCTGTCATTAACAGCTTCCAAACAAAATAATGCTGGATGTCCAATTCATTTGAACATGAATAACTGTTCTTTAAAAAAAAAAACGATTAGACAACAACATTTTGAGTATAAATTCCCTTGACAAGAACTTCAATTAAATGTATAAATAAATGCATAAAACAGGAACAAAATTGCGTACAGACGCTAATCTTTCGCGATAAAACTTGCTATTGTATTTCTGTTCATCTTTTCCGAGTTTGGTGGAAATTTTAACACCTGCTCCATAGTTCCCTGGTTGGTGGCGTCAGCTGCAGCTACCGGCGTCTATTTCTCCTCCTCTGGGTGAAAATGATCAATGTGGTTTCTCATGTTTGTTGTGTTTCCAAAATATTTCAGTTTTGTTTTTACAACTTGAATACCGTATGTCTTTTGTCCAGGTCCCTTTTCCCCTCAAACTCATAAAAAACAAAGTTATTCAATGTGCTTGCTTTTAACGTTGGTGGCGCTGGCCGTATTCCTCAGTCAGCCATGTTGTCCTGTGCATACTCACATACATATTCATCTGGACAATCCCAGCTCATCAGGCTTCCTGTCACTAATGTCATCGTTTGATCTAAAATTAGTTCAAAGTCCTCCAACTCACAAAGATGGAAAAGCACTTGACCTCATTTTCACCAGAAACTGTGCCATAGACACAATCTCTGTCACACCGCTGCATCTTTTTGATCATTACTTCATCCATTTCAGCTCGACTCTACAAGGGAGGTCCACTGCTTCCTCCCCAATGGTCTCATTCTGCCGCAACCTCCGCAATCTGGCACCCAACCACTTCTTCTCTCTTGTTGCCTCCACTCTTCCATCTCCCAGCACATTCTCTGCTTATGAAGTGAATAATGCCACCGAGTCACTCTGCTCCACACTCTGCTCTTGTCTTAACAACTCATGCCCTTTAGCCATTAGACCTGCTAGATCCTCTCAGTCGCACCCTTGGCTGAATGATACCCTCTGGTCTCTACGCACCAATCTTAGAGCTGCAGAACAGAAATGACGCAAAACAAAAGATCCTGGTGATCAACTGAAATTTCATGAATTACTGTCCTCATTCTCTGCCAGCATCACTGATGCAAAGAAAGCTTTCTACACTGACAAAATTCTCAGCTCGACTGACTCAGAAACTCTTTTCAACATTCAAAACTCTGCTCAACCCTCCTTCTCCACCTCCTACCAACAATCTTTCAGCTGACACCTTTGCCTCATTCTTCACTGACATAGTGGCAGCTATAAGCAAACAGTTTACTCAACTGGCCACTCCTGAACATTCGCTACCACAAACTCCTTCTAGCCCAACCATCTCAAGCCCTACTGCTTCACTTTCCTCTTTTTCCCCTCTCACTGAGAACTGTGTGTCC